AAGACCACCTTGGTCTACAGAGTAAGTTCCAGGACAGCTAGGTCTACACAAAGAAACCTTGTCTCGAGGGGTGGGGGGGGGGGGGGGGGTCGGGGATTTAGCTCAGTGGTAGAGCGATTGCCTAGCAAGCACAAGGCCCTGGGTTCGGTCCTCAGCTCCAAAAAGAAAAACAAATGAAATAAAAAAGAATAAAAAAAAAACTTGTCTCAAAACAACAACAACAAAAAAAAAACCTTAAAAAAATTAAAAGATGGCCACGTTTCTGTCTTGCCCCAAGTCTTTGTGAGCCGTCATAGCTCCCAACTGTTTTCTCACCCACTCTACTCTTTCCCAGAAATACACACATGCTGAGGGTGTTTCATTTTTTTTTTTTTTTTTTTTTTTTTTTTTTGGTTTTTCGAGACAGGGTGTCTCTGTGTAGCTTTGCGCCTTTCCTGGGACTCACTTGGTAGCCCAGGCTGGCCTCGAACTCACAGAGATCCGCCTGGCTCTGCCTCCCGAGTGCTGGGATTAAAGGCATGCGCCACCACCGCCCAGCTGGGTGTTTCATTTTTAAAAGACTTTTTTTTTCAGAAAAGGTGGGCAGCCAGCATATCTGCTTCCTTTTTTTTATTTCATTAATTTGTTTTTTATTTATTAGAGAGAGTAGGAGAGAAACATTCTATTTACCTACAGGTATTGTTCATTTGAAATTAAAAGTACTTCCGTCCTGTTGTTTCAGTGTTGGAGGCTGAACCTAGGGCATGATGGTACAGTGACCTCTTCACCCCTGAACCACATTCCAGCCTTCTTTTTAGTTCTTGCGTTTTGAGGTCAGGTCTCACTAAGTTGTCCAGGCTGCTTTTGACCTCACTGGGGAGCCCACCATGGTCCTGAACTAACAGTCCACCTGCTACCTCAGCCTCCAGAGGGCCTAGCACAGCAGACTCGTGCCATGAGGCCTGGCTTCCGTTTTCTACTCTGACTCAAAATAGAGTGCAGATAACCTCATCTTATCCATGTATTCTGATAATCAACGCTAACTCTCAAGAAAGGGCTGCTTCCTGTTTGATGATAGCTAATGTACAAAAATCTAAATATCCATTTAAATGAATGGAAGGAGAAAATGTGGTGTGTGTACACACTGGGATACTATTTGGTCTTAAAATTGAGGGAAACTTGCTAATTGCACCAATGTGAAATAAGTCAGACAGGAAGATAAATATTGTATGACTCCACTTACAGGTAGAATCTGAAATAATCGATCTTGAATCAGATACAGTGGACATGCACCTGCAATCTTTAGCTACTTGGGAGGCTGAGGCAGGAGAATTATTGGAGCCTGATGTCTAAGGATAGCTTGGGCAACACAGCAAGACCACATCTCAAAAAATAAAAAATAAAAAAGGAAAGAAAGAAAGAAAAGAAAAGAGCTGACCTGACAGAAGCAGACAGCAGAATGGTGACTGCCAGGGCTGGAGGAAGGTGGCAAACGGAGAGATGACAGTCACAAGGTTTCAGCTCTGAGGATGGGAAGTTCCATTCCACACAGCGTGTGCTTGTAGCTAACAGTAGCACACTGCAACTTAAACCCTGAGTGCTTATATTAAACATAGTTACATTGCCATGAGAATAAAAAACAACCACAACACAAGGAGGAGAGCAAGCTTGGAAAGTGATTGACATGTCTATGACCTTAATGGTGCTGTCGATTCAGCGTGGTCACTTAGTTCCAACTCATTAAGTTGCATATATTAAACATGTATAGTATTTTTTTCATGTCAATCACAATTTAACAAAGTGATTGAAAGAAAGAAACTGGTGCTGCCTCACCCAATTTCTTCCTATTTCTACCTCAAAAATGCACTCTACAATTTAAAATTATTTGGTGTGTGTGTGTGTGTGTGTGTGTGTGTGTGTGTGTGTGTGTACATATCATGCTAAGACTTCTTCCTTTCCTAATACACAATGGCATTTGAACATAAAAATTGACAAACTCTGCTTTGAAATTTGGATTTACTGCTATTCCTGAGTAATGTCTATTCTTAAGCACTTTTCTTTGTGACATTTTTTCACTAAAAACTTTTTTTTAAGTTTAGGATTAATCTTATATGATTAATACACAATTTTCCCTCTAGCTGGTATCATGGAGGAATGGAAATCATCATGTAAAGTCTCCATTATTGTCCTCTGTAAGACTCACAGTCTCCAAAATACTTTCAGGAGTGACACGAGTTCCATCGCCAGCATCCAGCATGTTTCAAAATACACGCTCAGTCACTTTTAGCCATGACCTAGTTTTTCCAGGCAAACTTATACCCACAGGCTATTCATCCAGGTTTTCACAGGCTCTACGCATGCTCTCTGTCTCTGTCTTGCTGACAGCTCTGTGTGCGCATGCATGTGTGCGTGCGTGCGTGCGTGTGCGTGTGCATGTGCGTGTGCGTGTGCGTGTGCGTGTGTGTGTGTGTGTGTGTGTGTGTGTGTGTGTGTAGAAGGTAACAGCAGTAGCTGGAGAACCAGAGAAATCTTGTCTAACTTCTTGGCTGCCTGGATGCCTGCATGCCTTCAGACTTTGTTGGAGGATCTAAAGTAGCTCTGATGGGGATAGCTATATTCTTGAACCATTTGAGGATCTCTTTCCAACTTCCACAAACTTGCAAAAACAGGACTTCTCCACTTTCAACCCTGATGTGTTTGGAAGTAGCTAGAGACAAAAAATTGTAGGGACTTCTAAGATGAATGATGGCAGGTCCCAACTTTTTTTTTTTTTTTTTTTTTTTTTTTTTTTTTTTTTTTTTAGGCACCTGAGTTAGAAAAATCTCTTGATTATACTCAAACCCACTGCCTACTTTTCCAGGCACTCACCATGCCTGCTTAAGAAGCCTTCCCCCTCTTTAAGGCTCAGCACCCAAACCTCATCTTGTGAGTTACATGTTTTCAATCCAAGCACAGATGGATAGGATGACAAAGACAGCTCTATCTATGAGGACAGCTGTTTGTTCCCAGGATGGAAACTCCTAATACAAGGTTAACAATGGTCTCCTTGTGTGTCCTTTCCTGATTCTGCAAGCTGCTGGGATCCCACCACCAGAGCTGGCAGCAGCAGTTTCCAGATCTCTGTTGCAATTATCTCTGGAGACTGGTTACCAGGGGTGCCCTGTCTTCATCCACACAGATAAGCGTCTATCAACACTCACATAGCTCCTTTGGCTTTATTTGAGTTTTATTTTTCTTGAAAGAAATGGGAAATGGAATTCCTGTAAAACTTTGTGTGTGTCAGGGGTGAGGGTAGGTGGTTACTCAGGACCAAAGCCAGGGTCTCCCGCATGCCAGGCAAGTGCTCTAACCGGTGAACTACATCTCCAGTGCCGAGTCTTTTGTAATTTCATCTGACAATGAATCTTGATGAAGACTGACCGTGCTTATCTCTTCTTTCCTTTCTTCTCATAGTGGAGAAGAACAAAGATAAAAGAAAACAATGGACCCAGATAAATAAAATCTTTGGGGGTTTTGATTTTTTTCTACATCCTTTCTGTGGTGTTTAGTATGTTTGATTTTAGAAATTTTATTGTATTAATAAGAGGTAGAATAAAAACTTGAGATATCTTATAGAAATGTGGAGTTCCCTAAATATATCATGTCCTCATGTTTTCCTATATAACTACGGGCTATTTATTGATCCACATGGTTTTCTGGCTTTAGTCTTCCTATTGCTGATGGCTTGCTCATGATTTTCTTTTGTGGCCATCAAGGTTCTCACAGTAGTGCTCCTCTGACTATAAGTCATAATACTTAAAATAAGATAGACAAAAGCTCTCTCCATTCATTCATATGATAAGTAAGGGACCACTGCATTCATTACCATATTAGTTGTTACCTATGGTCAGATCTTAAGGAATTCAATTGAAAAAATAGTTACATAGATCCTTGAAAAAAAAATAAAGCTTTTACCCACTGAACCATCTTGCTGGCCCAGATATTCTTTTCACACAGGATTACACACAGGAAAATAATTTGGTTGCAACACAAGCATGTTCTCCACAACCCTGCATGTGAGAGTTCAGCTGTAACGGCATGGCCTGATGTGCTTTAGAAATGGCTACCCTCTTAAGCTCCTGCTCCTCAAAGCACAGTGAGGTTTTTAATCTTTAAACAGAACACAAAATAGTTTGTTTCCAACCTGTCAACTTAGTAACACTTTAAGAAAAAAGATTACTTCTGCTATATAGAGTTGATTAAGGTACCATGTCATGTCTTAAGCCAGAAAACAGAAAAATCAAAGATGGATCTTTATCTGGGGCCATGTACTAAAGAAGAACTATATTAAAACTACAGATGTATCAAACCACCAAAAACTAGAGGTGCCATTTTACAATGACAGCTATAGCCATCTAATTACACACCACACACACACACACACACACACACACACACACACACACACACACACACACACACAAAAAAAAAGCACCAGATCTGTCGGTAACTTACCAGCAGCAAATAGCTACATAAACTTTCCTTAAGAACTATGTATTACCTATAGTAACAATTTAGATTTGTACAGTTTTGTTTCTGCTTTCAAAATGCTTTCAACACCCCCATTGCAATAAGCAAAATGGGATGTTATACAGTCTGCCAGATGTGGCTATAATGTAAATTGAGGCGAAGGCCCATTAGGCAGTGGATGTAGTCAGGATAACTCCATCTTTGGCACATTGCATTATATGAAGAGATAGCCCAGACTATGCAGCAGGACTCCAATCAAAACAAAATCAAATGAAGCTGACAAAACCAATTAAAGGCAAGGCAGGAGAAACACATCAGGCATTTGAATCAAACTTTCTACCACCAGCCTCAACAGGGAAGGAATAAAAATAGAACTCCAGACTGGATTCCACTGGCTAATTTCAACTGCTTTTCATTTTCTCTTCAAATCTGGCACTCAGACTCATCACAGCTGGCACTAGATACACTGAGCAGAAAGGACCTAGGAGAAAGAAGACAGAGAAAAGCCTTACCAGCACAGCCAATGAGACATCTGGAACCTCTCCTTGCAAAGGTAAACAGAACTATCCCAGAAAACAAACAGACTGACCAATGGAGCAGCAGATCTGAGAAGTGAAGGAGCCACGCAGCCTTCTTTGAGGGTCTTCCCTACTTGCTGCCACTTCCTGCATCAGGTGATCGCTTCTGTCGCTGGGAGAAGATGCCCAGAGGAAACAACCCCGGGGAGGAAGGGTTTCTTTCGGCTCACAGCTGCAGAGCTGTCAATCCATCACGCTGGGGAGAGCATGTTGGAGCAGACAGGAAACGGAGAAAGAGACAGGGACATGTGGTTAAAGGGAACAGGTTGTAAAATTCACAAGCCCTCCTCTAGGTAAGTCTTACTTCTTAAAATTCCCACAGGCTCTTTAAAGAACATGGTCAAGGCATGCAAACAAATGAACCTATTACAGGGACGCTTCACATCCTAATCACACTAGCTCTAGCCCCCTTCATCCATTCACGCTCCAAACCCCTCATTCATAGGCCTTAGAAACGCATAAGATCTTCAGTGTGAGTCAGTTGAGGTCAGATGTTCTTAACCAGAATTTAATGCATAGAATTAAATGTCTGGAAGTGACCTTAGAATTTTCCCCCTAATTTTCCACTTTCTGCATCAATTATACTATGATAAAGTCCCCCGCCCATCTCACATGTATCCACAGGAGATATGAACTCTAACTCAACATCTCTGCTGATTATAAATCAAGGGCCCCTGGGGCAGCTTCCTCCATTTCTGGATTGTTCTAATCAATAAAATGTTCTGTCATGCTAGCCAAAATTAGCCCCCTGTAGCTTCTCCTCATGTGAGAAATATCAAGCAAGCCTTTCTGCTGGCAGCCTTTCACTTTGTTTGAAGCCAGCTGTCACCCCCTACAGAGTACTATGTCCATGCACTAATATGCCCAACTGCTCAGATGACATGATTTATAGGCTCCTTGGTCATTCCCTCTTGAACACATTGCAGTCCCTCTTCAAAAGGGTCATCTAGACAAATGGACTGAAATGCTATAAGGAGAAGCCTAACCATGGAGCAGAAGCCTCTGTCTACTGCCAAAAGAACCAAGGCACCAAGAGCCACATCCACAAGAAAGACAGCCTTGTTATCAGAGCAATGTTTTCCCCTGAAGAGGGAGAGAGAAGAGAGGTTGCCCATGCTTTAATTCTCTTATTTTGGAATTAAATTTCAAACACACTTGTGAATGTGTGTATGTGTGCACACTCACGTGCGCGCGCACACGCACTCACCCCCCAGACACATGGGGGGGGGGGGTTGGCTAAGTGCAGGTCTCTCTGCTAAGGAAATTTTTGGGGGGAGGGGAGTTTTGAGACAGGGTTTCTTTGTGTAGCCTTGGCTGTCCTGGAACTCAATCTGTAGACCAGGCTGGCTTCAAATTCACAGAGATCCACCTGCCTCTGCCTCCCACAGGAAGCAGAGAGCAAACCGGAAGTGAGAAGAGCCTATAAACCCTCAAAGCCCATCCTACAAGTGAGTACTTCCTCCAGCAAGGCTGCATCTCCTAAAAGTTCTACAGTGTCCCCAAATAATTCTGCCAACTGGGGACCAAGTGTTCAAATATCTGAGCCTATGGGGGACATTGCTCATTCAAACTACTTTAGAAAGTGAGCTTAACGTAGCCCTCACAGCTCAGCAAGTGCATTCCCTGGGACCACAGGAATATTTCATACTCCAGCACTTCTATGTCTAGTGACCCCCATACTTCTCACCATAGTTCTCAAATCTTTACCCTATCTCCCTAGTCTGAAAGTTCTTCCAGTTTCTCAGAACTACTGCTAACTCCTTTTATGCCCAGGCATCCACTTTTATGCACTCAGAATTCCTTCTTTTGAATTCTTCTTTCCAGCTCCCTAACAGGTCCTAGCCACAGAGACAATCTGATCCACCAGAAAATCTCTAACACCTTCTATTCATTCACCTTGCCCCCATAACTCTCCTTCTAGAGAACCAGCAGATCTGGAGCCACAAACCTATGATTGAAGATATACACACCAAGGCTGAGGATGTAGCTCAGAACACTTGCTTAGCATACACGAGGCCTTGTGTTCAGTCTCACAAATAGGGATAAGGGGATGCACAAACAGAGGCTGTCCATCTCCACTAGTAAGCCTTTTTTTTTTCAGTCTCGGAATCCAAGTTTCAGAAATTATTGCTTTTTAGGTGACTGAGTGAGGGACTTCAGGAAGCAAACTGACCCTGAGGTTGTAGAAGAAATGTAGTGCCAGAAGGTAGACCATGTGGGTTCCTGGATCAGCGTCTCTAATGCCCAAACTGTCTGTGCATAGTTGTATTTATTCATTTTCTCATCACTGTGACAAACACTTGACAGAAACCACTTAAGGAAGGAAGGATTCACTTTGTCTCAGAGCTTCAGAGGGTTTGGTCCATGGTATCTTAGCCCCATATTACTTGAACAGAGCATCATGGTGATCAGAGAATTTTTTACTCTATGTCATATTGAACCTGAAAAAAGAGATACAGAAAGGGGCCATTGCAAGATATAACCCTCAAGGATATACCTCTAATTACCTACTGTTGTGGGACATTTGTTTACACTGTGAAGATGTGTCACTGTGATTGGTTTAATAGAGAGTTGAATGGTCAATAGCTAGGCAGAAGAGAATAGGTGTGACTTCCAGGGAAAGAGAGGAACTCAGGAAGAATCTACACATGCAAGAGACACCAGCAAGATGTATAACAAGTTGGAGGTACAGAATGGCAGTGAGGTAAAAGCCATGTGGCAGAATATAGATTAATACAAACAGGTTAATTCAAGTTATAAGAGCTAGTTGGGAATAAGCCTAAGCTAAGGGCCAAGTTTTCATAATTAATAATCAATCCCTGTGCCATTATTTGTGGGCTAGTGGTCCAAAGAAAGTTCAATGAGAAAGCCTACTATATTTGGTGTCCAGTGTGGGACACATAAATCCACATAGGGTCTGAGAAAACTGGCAAAAAAAAAAAAATGTTCTAAACACAGAGTAGGACACAGCTTCCTGGAGACAGAAGTCTCTCTGGTTGGTACCCGGTTCATGGCATACAGAGACATAGTTCCTTGACTATGCACTTGAGCAGCCAGTGCACTAGCAGCTAACGCTGTGTGCTAAGCAGCAGGTGGTCTAGCTGTTTAAGGCTTGGCTCACACGGTCAGAGAACACTGCAGGCACTTAGTAAAGCCAGGTCCAAACCAAAAAACCTCTATACAGATACAATATGCTTAAAAATGTGCTTAGGTGGGTATAGGCAGTCATTTAAATAAATAAATAAATAAATGAATGAATGAATGAATGAATGAATAAATAAATAAATAAATGAATAAATAAATAAATAAATAAATAGGTTTAAAAATAATAAAGTCTTTAAAGAAAGAGTAAAGTAATATAAAAAGAATAAGCCAAGCGAGGACAGGAAATATACAGGGTGTCTGGATCCTGCATGCTGCCTTGTTGACTTTGAATTTTTTAAATGCTGATGAGCTAAGGGCAAGCACTGCTAAGAGACACTGGATTTTTTTTAAAAACTACTAAATTAAACAAGCCTATATATTTTAAGGATGTCTTAACTTTAACATGAAAGTCAAAAAATATGTTGTGTTGCAGGAGAGGTTAATGCTTTTGCTTCCATAGGTAACAAAAAGCTATAGATTCCTTAAAAATTAATAAAGACCAGATTTAATCAGGGGAGACCTCCTGAAAATCTTGGTTACAGACATGAAGGAAGAAGTCAAGAAAAGCTACAAGAAAGGTGATGTATATGCTGATCCCTCTACTATGGGAACATCTCTGAGACTGGATGAGACATGATGAATATTGTTAGTTTACAGAGTCCTCATGACTTATTACATGCTATCCTTTCATATGACATGGATGGAGATTTATATTAGAGTTTGGTTATGCAATACAAATGGACTTAGAAAGTTGACAGATGTCTTCTACCTACTCAAATATAAAACAGAAAATTATCATTAGCTAACTTGTACACATCGCACATTCCATACTTGAGTTAACAGATATGTATATTACCTTTAAAAGCTTGTGTGTTTTCAGAAAAAAAAAGGACCAGACACCAATGAAAAAAGTAGCCCAGGTAATACAGCCTCTCGAATGCCTCTGTTACAGTTTCCTCAAAGATCTACATCCAGGACAACTTGAAAGCTACTAACTAAGATGGTCCAGCCTCACAGACTACTCTTGTCAGGACTTCAGATAAACCCTGCACTTTCCCATCACACAGAGACTGAACAACAAATGATACAGCTAGCTCTCCCAGGACTTGACCATTATCTCAATTTTCTCAGAGTCCCTTAAAAATACCATTAACCCTACACTGCAGGTAATAAATTGAAGAGTATGATGCCCATATTCTCAAGAGGTGGGGTGGGTAGTTTTTGGTCAGTTGGTGGGTTACAGAAGTTTATAATCATTTAGGGGGTTGGTTGCAAGTTGTTATTTGTCATGGTCAGGGAGGAAACTAAGGAAAGGAGATTAGACTAAGGATCTCATTCTGAAAAGAAAAAAGGGAGGAATATAGGAATGATAGAAAAAAGTATAGATCATTGAATTTATTTTCAAACTAAAAGAAGTAACTACTAGTCTCAAATATTTGAAATTGGTATGGATTTTTGTATAGTGATACAAATTTAAGGTTATTTTGTTAGAACATACTATAGATGTATGTGTGTGTTTCTATTCTTGTTTAAGGTATTGTACATATGCAGCTCATTTAACCATATAATGTAAAGTTTTAGCCTTTAAAAGCTATTTAGGATAATAAAGAAATGCAGGTTAGTCAGTCATCTGTAACAATCAAACTTAGGGATATTTTCAAGGTCACATAGAGATATATTTTAGATAGATGGTCTTCAAACACTTCAGAGATCTACAGACTATGGCATTTAAGATGTTTTAATAACATAAGGCTTTTCATGGCAGTAAGATATGTCTGCTTCTGAAAACACCAATCTAATTAAGAGAAGATGATGTGCATGGAAGAACCTCCATATTGAGTTTGCTTTCATTGTGACAAGTTTAGCCACTGGACAAGAAACTGTCTTTGCCTCAACGGCTGACAGTATGCTGTCCAAATTGGACAAGCAGGACACAACAAGAGATGATTGCCAAACTTTGCCAAGACAAGGTAAGATAGTTCTTCAAAAATTCCTATTTCACAAAAAAAGTCTGTCAGATATTCTAGACCTGTAGGTCAAAGATGGATTTTC